CTATCTTCCCAATCAGTGCATTTGTGTGGAACGGAAAATGAATAGTTCATCAACTATTTAGGCTGTTTAATAACAGCAAGACCGCAGATTGCGTCAGATTTTACCCGCATTAAATTTAAATGAATTAGATGACGAGGAATTTGAGTTTGTCTAATGATTTTTCTCTAACAAAGAGCAATTGCCCCTTAAATGTGTATTTGGGTGGTATAGGCTTCCAAAATATATAAAATAGAGGTAGCCGGTTTATATTATATTAAATAATAGCAATTGGGGACATTTTGGGGCAAGAATATACAAAAAAAACACAAGCAATTTTTGGCATGCTTGTTGCTTTGGAGCCATATTTTAAATTCCATATTTCATTTGGCTCCCAGCTTTGGGGAAACGCGTGCAGCACCAATCTAAACATCATACAGCGCGCCCAATCAAAAATCCTGAGAAAATCACTGGGGCACCATGGTATATTCGCAACGAAAACATCCACAGGAATATCGGCATTCTTGCAGTTAAGAAAAACAAAAACAAAAACAATAGAAAAACAAAAAGCGTCTTACAAGGAAAAACTCTCTGCCCATCCAAATCCTCTAGCAAGGGACTTGGTACGGGTTTTCAGAAGAAGCCGTCTACTACGTAACGACCTTCCAACCCAGCTATAATTAGTCAGGGCCATTTACTCTGAACCAGTCTACAAGACTGCTAGTTAGGTAGTATTGTAAGATTTGATACACTTATTGTTAGTCTCATCATACATGAGAAGATTCAATAAATAAAGCAAAGCGTAAAAAAAAATATATATATATATTTCATTTGTTCCTCGCCAACTTTGTTTACATTTCCGAAGTGAATGGTAAAATTTTCACTGCTAAGAAGAAGAAATCAGAAAAACTATCACCTAACTATCTCCAACAAACGGTGGTTAAATTTAGATACGTTCTAACGCGGTACAAAATGAGAAATTTTGGAACGCCAAAACCTTAAGGGCGGTTTGTTCGACGGTGAATGCTGTTTGGCGCTCTGTGGGAAGACCCTATTACCGTTTATTTTTGAGTCTTAGTAGTCCTAGTGATCCCTGCAGTACCACATTTTATCAATAGGCCTCTTTCATCAAGAATTCATCAACGTGCCGACTGCGTCTTCGACAGAATCGACGCTCTGCCGACTGCTACTTGAACACGAACTCTCTTCGGATACCCGAAGTCCCTTCAAGTCCGACTTGTCGGTGTACGTAAAAAAAAAAACAAAAACAATTTGCATGGGCTTAGTTTATTGAAGTACGAAACAAAGTAGGAAACGCAACTGGCGTTGATTCTCAAAGCTTCGAATCCATATTTTCGGAGCAGCGGCACGCGATAGTCCCGCAAATTAGAGAGAGATGGTAATAGTTCGCTCTATCACTTATTTATTTATCAAGAATAGCAAATATTTGCCATTATAAATCGATATATTTTCCTCTGACCGGATAAAGAGTGTTTTTTAATGAGGCAAGGATAGGTGTCTTTGATATTATTAAAGTCTAATGACATTTCAAAATACAACAAAAAGTACAGAGTTATAAAGCAGTCATGACCAGCCCATTACTCTAGCCGCTCGCATTGTTTTTGTATTTGCTCCTATGCATAGGCAAAGCAATCACCGGTTAATTTGTTTTACAAATATCTTAGCATACTGATTTGGCTTCTTACAATCCTTCTCCCCCAGCTGGGAAGAAAACTTGTATCCGTCGGCCGACAGCGAAAAGTTAAACTTCGAGACGAAATCAAAACCCAGCAGCGCATCATACTCAATGTCCGCATCCTCCACTACAACAAAGTTGTGTGTCGTCATCTCCTGATCCACTGCAACCTCAGCCAAAAAGTAGCCAACTGGGAACGTCATCCTCTTTCCAAACCCACGCAGCTTCGACGGACATTGACATTGGGTATTTTTTTGAAGACATACTTGCGTAAAATAGTTACGTCGGCTCTCGTATCTACCAGACACTTTACTTCCATGTCGTTGATGGTAACATTTTTCATGCGATTTGCACTGCGTACAACTTGAACACCTGCAGCTGACCCAGAGCAATCCCTTGACATGTGACCCTCTTTGTTGCAACTGAAGCATTTCACGGCAGAATTGCAATCGTTGCGAAGATGATCTGCAGATCCACAATTGAAGCAGTGACTTCTCCTGTGGTTGAACTCGCGCTGCTTCCTTTTGTTCGACATCCACTCTCCATCGTTCGGCTTGAACGGCCTCTCGCCCACGCGTTCGTACACCTCATACTGTTCCTTTAGCTCTTTGAACGTTTTGCAACAGTAGAGAGAGTATTTGAAGTCACTCCTCATGTTTAAGCCATCAACAACATATCGGATCGTACGGATCTGAAGGTACATCAATGTTGCAAAGTGACTCAATCTTTTTCATCAGTTGTAGGTATACATGAAATGATTCGTCCTTGCGTTACTTCCGATTACGGAGCTGCTCATGAATATTAGTGCTGCACACATATTCACGACTGAACTCTGTATACAGCAGCATACGCATCTCTGATTATTGGTGTACAAAAGTAGAATCCAAAAACATTTTCGCCGTATTCGTCATTTTAGCACGAGCCTGCACATACATTTGCTTGGTGTTTAGACGGTAGGCTGCAGCATTCTGCTCGAAATTGTCGAACCAATTCTTTACTGGAATAATTTTCGCGAAACTTTCCGCTGTAATGAGCATCCACTGTTTTGCTCATCCGATCTAAACTTTATAGAAAGCAGCTGCACAAGGTCTTTCAGCGTTCTTGTGTTTTCGTCGATCGAGCTGCTCTCAACTGCTAAAACTGTTGCATTTTGCCTTCCACTTGTTCCGACACGATTCTGCATGCTTCTTCTTGCAGCCTTTTGTTCTCCTATGGATTCGGAAAGTTCATGCATGCTTTTAATTTCATCGTCATTCTCCTGTTCACCAGCTTTACCAAAGTTATCCATTCTGATACTTTTATCCGCTGCGACAGATCTAGTGTAATACGACTTCACACACATTCCCTTCCGCTATCCGCCTTCTAAACTTCTCAGGACTTGCAATTTAGGTTTGGACGAGCCCCAAAATGTGAGATGGGTTGATAGCCCTCTTAGGTTGTTCTTTATTATAGTAAGTTTTTTATATTATATTTATTCTGGTTTTTGCAAGTTTTCCGTCTTTGTTTTTTTTTACTTTTTCAGCTTTCGTTTTGTTCTTTCCTCTTTCGTCTCTCTCTGCTGACTTTACTGCTGAACTCCAAAAACTGAATGAAACTTTTCCTCTCCGTTCCTACTTTGCTGGTGTCACTTCGAAGCTCTCCGCCTGCTTCAATCAATCCCCTTTTTAGATAAATATATCATTTTCAGAAAAAATATCGATATATTGATATTTTGATTCGCTGCCCAGCGCTAGATGCCCAATTTAAAAAGGCAGTAATTTAAATTTGTTTAACATTACATAACACTGAAACTGTACTGACCAATACCAATTTGTATTGAAAAACACTTTTTTTGTGAGAATGGGACCGCTATATACATATGTAAGCGTCACTTTGTGCGTGGTAATTTCGATATTAATGCGAGGACTTGGTCCGCTTTATTCAATTTCATAGAAGTAATTAAAACTATACAAGCGGGAGTGAGAGATCGCCGATCGCCCAGAGTCAAAGCGTCCGCTAGAAGAGCGAGAGCGCAAGCTGCGCAAGAGCGCAAGCTGAGAGCGAAAGCGCGCTGAGGAGCTTTGAAGAAGCGGGAGCGCTTCGGAGTCGCGCGGGGGGGAAACGAAAGCTCCTGACCTGAACATTCCGCCCCCCTTGCAATCACTAGGGTTGCAACATAGTCTGCTCCTCATTACGGCGTGTGACAGGCCCCGGACAGGACCCATCCAAATACGGTGCTTTGGGCCACCGGCAATCCATCCTGCACTTTCAGGAACCCAGGCTGCATCACTTTAGGGTACACATCCGCGCCCAGGATGACGGAGATCGTAGCCGGAAGGTAGAACCGTTCATCAGCCAATGTGATGTCCTTGAAATAGGCCGCACAGTTTCATCCAATTGTCGGATCGGAATGCGGACGCGCACGTGAGTCTCCACTTTGAAAACGAGATCGAGCCGGACATGGGCGTTCGTTTTCGAGCCGACGGTGGCTGAGCAGATCTGTTCAGCATCCACAGCTGTCGTCGCAAGTCGCAAAGAAGTCACCAGCGACGCGTCAATGCAGCTCATAGGCGTGCATGGGTCGATAAGCGCCGCTGTGTCGAACACTCGCATTCCGGTGTCAATCCGCACCAGCGCGGTCGGGAGGAGGTTCACGCTGTGTCGCTGAAGCAAAGTGGCCAGTGAAGGCCCTGTCGGAACTCTCTGCGTGGCGAATGCCGCGGTTCGTGGAGAGGCTTACGAATGCCGTGGACAGGCCGGATAGTGCCGAGGAGAGGCCGAAGAGTGCCGAGGAGAGGCCGAAGAGAGCTGAGGAGAGGCCGCAGAGCATGATACAATCATACTATGATTGTCGGCCGCAGAGCGCCGAGGAGAGGCCGAAGAGCGCCGAGGAGAGGTCGAAGCGTGGTGAGCAGAAACTGGAGCGCGATGAGAGAGCGGCGTCAACTGACGCGAACGGCGTCGATACATCGGCTGCTCTTGCATATGCAACAGTGTGCGGTGCTCTCCGTTGCAGATCTTGCACCTATCGCCACGGCGGCACGCTCCATCCGAATGCTCGTGAGCCAAGCAGTTGGCGCAATAGCGATTCGCAAGGACCGCGCGGAGCCTCTTTTCGACGCTCAGCCGCAAGAATCTGCGGCACTTCCGTAGAGGGTGGACTCCGTGGCAGACTCGGCAGCGGTAGGAATTTATACCTCGTGTACGCCTGCTCTCCATTTCGACGGCGCTACGTAGACGTGGGAACATTGTGATCTGGATTAGGATACAGAAGAAAGAATTAGTATGCAGTCGAAAATATGACTTAGAACTAGCGAAAAAAAAAACTACGGAGTGAGGATACGGCTAGTTATTGAGATTTTTCGGAGGTCGCCCCCGGAAGCAATACGACTTTTGCGACAGGGCGCTTAACGATTCCCCGAGCAGTACGAATATTCACCACTCGGACATGACCATCGGGTCCGGGAAACACGGAATCAATCCTGCCGAGCCGCCACTCATTGGATGGCAGATTATCGTCCTTGATTATAACCATCTCGCCCACCTCGAGATTTCTTGTGGGGACTTGCCACTTTGTTCGCTTATGAAGCTCCTTGAGGTACTCTTCCTTCCATCTCAGGCGGAATTGCTGATGAAGAGCCTTAAGGTGCTGCCACCGGTTGATAATTGAAGTGGACGCACCCTTTATTTCGGGTTCGACGGTGGCGAGAAGGGGTCCACCTACGAGAAAATGACCTGGCGTGAGTGCTAGCAAGTCTGTGGGGTCTTCGGACATCGGGGCGAGTGGACGCGAATTTAGACAGGCCTCAATCTTGGCCAGCAATGTGGAAAGTTCTTCGAACGTATACTTTCGAGTGGCTGTGGATTTATAAAACAGCGTCTTGAAGCTTTTAACTCCAGCTTCCCACAATCCCCCCATGTGCGGGGCTCCTGGGGGTATGAATTGCCAAAGGAGTTCCTGGTGACTATAAGCATTCGTCACGGACTCCTTGACAGCTTGCAGAAATTCACGCGACAGCACTGCGGCTGCACCAACAAAGGTCTTCCCATTGTCCGACTGAACTTGTCGAGGGCACCCTCTTCGCGAGACGAATCGTGCGAATGCTGCGAGAAATTTCTCTGTTGTGAGGTCAGAAGTAGGCTCTAAATGGATAGCCTTCGTGGAGAAACATACAAACACCAACACATAGCCCTTGGTAATCAGGCAGGCTCTCCCGGTGTAGTTCTGTATATCAAACGGTCCGGCATAATCCATGCCCGTGTACGTAAAAGGCCGCGAAAAGGACGTTCTTTCTTTTGGTAATTCGCCCATGAGTTGGGTCTGCAACTTCTTTTTGTGGATCACACATATTTTTCAGGAGAAAATTACTGACTTGACTAAGTTCTTGACCCTTGGTATCCAGAATTTTGAGCGGACCAGGCGTACCATTAGCTGATTACCGCCGTGCAAGGATATGCGATGCGTAAAGGATACAAGGAGACGCGCCAACTGACAGTTGTATGGAAGAAAGATCGGATGCCGTTCATCATATTGGAGGACTTCGGAGGCCGTCACCCGACCACACGCCCTGATGAGGCCGTGAGGATCAAGGAAAGGATTCATGTTCTTAATAGAACTGGATGCTGGAATTGGCCGCTTTTGGCTCAGGCAGGCATATTCAAGCGCAAAGTATCTGCGCCGGGTCATGAAAATTAGGAGTCGCTCAGCTGTGGAAATCTCTGTATTGGATAGCTGCAGCTCGCCTGGAATAGGTCGTTTTTGCGAGCGCTGGATGAAGCGCTGAACATAGGCGAAAACTCGTAGTGCCTTGTCGAGCTTGGAGAACCGCTCAAGCATGTCCTACTCCGGACATGCCAAATGGCAACGTATGGTCGCTTCTTGATGTCGATGTCGGAAACTGGTTCGTAAGGTGCAGTCCAGGAGTCTTGTGGCTGAGTTAGCCAGGAAGGCCCATGCCACCACAGCTCACTGGTAGCCAGCTCTTCAGCCGCTTCTCCACGACTGGCTAGATCTGCTGGGTTGTGCTCGGAACGCACGTGAGACCACTGGCTGGCATCAGTATTTTGAGCGATTTTAGTGACTCTATTTGCGACGAAGGTCGTCCACTGACATGGTGGCTTGTTCAACCATGCCAGCACAATAGTGGAATCAGTCCATAGAAAAGATTCTATACGACCGAAAGGAATCTGAGGCAGAATTGCAGTCCACAAGTCTGCCAGAAGGACGGCTCCACACAGTTCTAGACGCGGGAGCGAGACGGTTTTTACCGGAGCGACTTTGGTCTTTGACGTTAGAAGATTTGATGAAATGATTCCATCACGCTGGATGCGAACGTAAATCGCTGCGCCATAAGCCTTTTGGGAAGCATCGCAGAAACCATGGAGTTGGACTTGTACACCTGGTTGAAAATGTACCCAACGCGGGATGCGAACTTGGTGGAGGAAACTGTAGCTCCGAAGGAAATCATGCCAGCGATGTAGTAGTTCTGCAGAAAGAAACTCATTCCATTCGACGCTGGCTAACCAGATATCCTGCATCAGGATTTTGGCCTGAACCACAAATGGGGAGAGCCACCCAGCTGGGTCGAACAATTTCGCGATTTGGGATAAGACGTCGCGTTTGGAATAGTTTGCCTGAATGGTGACCTCTGTTGGAACAAAATAGAACTCATCCGTCGTAGCGTTCCACCGTACTCCCAATGTCTTAGTGGTGCTGACCTCTTCGAGATCAAGAAAATCAGTCGAAAGTAGATGCTCTTTAGGAAGTGCTTTAAGGAGTGCACGTTCATTCGATGTCCACTTGCGGAGAGGGAATCCAGCTGAGATCAGAGCTGCTTGCAGCTCCTGAATGGCTAAAATAGCTTCAGCTTCTGTATGGGCTCCTGCTAGCACATCGTCGACATACATATAGTTTAAAATTATATGCGACGCCCGTGGATATTGGGCGTTGACATCGTCGGACAATTGTTGCAGTGTTCGTAGGGCCAGGAAAGGGGCACAATTCACTCCAAACGTGACCGTCTGAAGCTCGAAGTCAGATATATCCCCTTGGCCATTTCGAAAGAGGATTCTCTGAAACGGAGTGTGCTCTTGGTTAAGGAGAATTTGCCGATACATCTTGGTGATGTCGGCATTGAAAACGAATTTAAACGTCCGCCACTTCAGGATTTGAAGAGTGAGATCGGACTGCAGTACTGGCCCTGGACACAGAATGTCATTAAGGCTGTTCCCATTGGAAGAAGGACTGGATGCGTTGAAAACTACACGAACTTTTGGGTCGCACTTTCGGGCTTGAATACTGCGTGATGGGGTAGATAGAAATATATCTTGTCAGTATTTGGAGGCACCGTTTTCATATGGCCAAGATCGATATATTCTTGGATCACTGAGTCATAAGTGTCTTTGAGAGCCGGCTCCTTCTTCAAGCGAGTCTCATTCCTCAGAAATTGTGCGAGTGCGGAACTCCTGGAATGCCCCAAGTCAATGTGCTCTGAATCCTTGAAGGGCAGGGATACTATATATTTCCCGTCGCAGGATCTGGTAGTTGTTCGGACGAAAAAGTCTTCACACAACTTGTCCGTCTCCTTTATCAGTCTGCATGGAAGATCCTCCACCTCCCAAAATTTTGTGAGAAGTGTTTCCATGGTTGCTTCGGACTCTATGGATATCTGTGTGGTAAAAGACGAAACCCTACTAGTGGTTGAAGACACTGGGCCGATCAAAATCCACCCGAAAATGGTCTCTTGCGCTAATAAAGACCCACATACGTTTGGCCTCCAGCCTGATAGCAGGACAGACGGAAGAATATCCGCACCTAGAAGAAGGTCTATCTGAGACGGCTGGAAAAACGACGGATTTGCCAATGGCATATTGGGCAGCCTATCAAGAATGCTTCGATCAATTGTGCTTGTCGGAAGATTGCCGGCCAGGTTCGGCAGCACAAACGCCGTCGTGTCGATCTTGAGCATAGGTTTTGCCGGAGTGCCCATCTGGAAATGACACATTTTTTGTGAGACACCGGAATTGGCTTGGTTGAGCCCTGTGACTCTTGTTGTTACGGCTTGAAATGGAAGTTTAATCCGGTTGGCAAGCCTCTCAGAAATGAAAGTGCCTTCAGAGCCTGAATCTATCAGGGCACGTGCTGGAAAATTCTCTCCTCGGTGGCACACATGAACTATGGCCGTACCTAGAAGTACTCCTTGTTGGTTGGAGGCGAAATGAACTGAAGTGTTTGAGATTGGCTGCTCAGGAGGGTGAGCCGGCGCTGTGCTAACAGCATTAGACGGATTATCTTTGTGCAAGAGCGTATTATGCCGTCCCCTGCATGTGAAGCAACTATGCCTGCTCGTGCATTCACGAAGATTATGTCCCCTTGCAAAGCAATTAAGGCACAATCTCTTATGTTTAATATATGATGCTCTTTGTGGTTGAATCATCTGGAGAAAGCGAGGACAAAGCCGAACTGGATGAGGCTCTCTGGAGCAGAGATCACAAAATCGTGCGCGTGGCCCTACTTGTGTCTCGAAGGTATTTACCCTCCTTGGTTGTGCACTTCTGGGCTCCCTCGAATGCTGTGTGCTGGAAGAATTGGGTCGGACATCCTCAATTGCTTCCAACGTGCGATATCTCTCCTCGAGAAAGGAATTCATTTCTTCCCAGGCTGGGATTTCGGACTTATTGGTCAAGGACTGCTCCCATAACGAGAGAGTGACCTTCGGCAACTTGGAGGAGATTAGAAAAATTAGAAGGCAGTCCCAATTTTCCGTGAAAATTTGTGAATGCTCGAGGGCTATCAAGCACCCTTGGATTGTGCTCTGCAGATCTTTCAAGGCCGTGCCTGATTCACTGCTTAGGGTCGGAAGACTAAACAGGATTTTTAGTTGGCTGTTTACCAACAATCGCTTGTTTTCAAAGCGATCCTGAAGCGCTGACCACGCGGATTGGAACCCATCATTAGTCAGCAGAGACTTGGCCACAATGGCGTGAGCTTCGCCGCTAGTTTTGGCGTTTTAGTGGAAAAGCTTTTCCACTGGAGTTAACCTGGAATTATTTACATAAATGGCCGTAAACAGGTCACGAAAAGTGGCCCAGCGCAGATAATCTCCGTCAAAGATCTCTGTATCGCATGGCGGAAGACTGCAACCCCTCGAGAATGTCTCTGTCGGCGGAGCTGTTCTTGGCGGTGAAGTGGGGGCGGACATACGGTCGATGTCTTCATTTAGCTTGGAAGCACATCTTTCGTACACCGCATAGCAGTGCTCGTATTTGTTTTGAAGTAGCGGAAGATTTCCGCTACCTCCCTCGCGAAGAGCTGCTTTGGAAGCGGTTTCATACTCCCGTTCAACCTTTTCCCATAAGGATTGTATCTGATCCAGACGGATCTTTAAGGTAAACGAACTAGGCTCGGAAGGGGCTTTCAAATTTGCAAAGACGGTCGCTAGTTGCTATGAACTCAAGCAAAATACCGTCTAAAGTGCTCTTGGCTTTGGATCTCAAATTACTTGAAGGTCCCGCGCCCGTGTTTCTCGGACTCGGTTCCCGCCTTTGACTTCCATCTATTGAAGGCGCTAACTGCGGTAACTGCGCTCCCTCCCTCTTCTGACTCGCGTCGTGGGGAATTGATTTTTGTCATTCCGACATTTTTTTTGGATTGGATTGGCGAGAATATGCCGTAGAATTCGAATGTTAGACTTATTTGCTCCCAATACCGTCAACTAAATCGACGAAGTAGAAATGTGAGACGGTAAAAACGAAACGAATATGGATGGCAAAAATATGCCGTAGAACTCGGATGGTAGATGGTGGAATTAATCAATCTCAGAATTAACCAATAAAATTCGAATGGTAGAATTATTTGCTCCCAATACCGTCAACTAAATCGACCAAGTAGAAATGTGAGACGGTCAAAACGAAACGAATATGGATGGCAAGAATATACCGTAGAACTCGGATGGTAGATGGTAGATGGTGGAATTAACCAATCTCAGAATTGCAAGTAAATAAACTGGAAAAAATTTACTTGAAGTAGAAGCGACGATAATAGAAAATATGTGTAGAGGACTCAATATTAATTGGAGCAGATGCGACGAGAATCGAAAATTTATTTGTAGTGGAACCAATATTAATTGGAGCAAATGCGACGAGAATTTAAATTTATTTGACCAAATAACTAATTGCTGGACGGAAATGCCGAGTTGTTTATTATTTTCGTATTTAATAGTAAACCAATAAATGCAAAAAAAAAAAATATATATATGGAGTACCCTTGACAATTGCGGATATTTAATCGAGTGCAAAACTTTAAAAGTATTTAATGATCAATTAATTGATTAATTATTAAAAATATTAATTATAAAGAAAAAATAATTCGATGGGAATGGTGGGATCGGAACACCTGACACCTTTTTTCTCAACTCAATGTTCGTTGGGATGCGCTGCCGGCAATGTAAAGCTCTTGGTTATGTATGTACATATGTATGTATGTAGATGTCGCGGCGGCAGCGGAACTATGTAAGGCGCACCAATAAAATGCAGAAAAAAAGACGGACACTGGCTTACAAAATTTTGTTTTAATATTTTATTCTTTATTTATTATGTTTTTATTTTCTTGGTTTTAAAATGTTGTATGTAACTGTATGTGGAATGTATGTATGTGTATGGGGAAGAAAATATAATATGTAATATATATGTTTTATATGGAGAAAATATATGGATTTATAATATAATAATATATATGTATATATATGGATGTTAGCGGACTGTATTTCGATTATTAGTAATTTTTATAATGGAATTTTATTTTCTATCGTGCTTAATAAAAATCAATGTCTTTATGTAAGCCGATACCCGCAGTACCATTCATCAACAAATTCATCAACGTTTCATCAATAGCCGAAGCGTGTTGTTCATCATTTCATCGATGAATTGTTGATGAAAGGCTGATGAAATGTTGATGAATTGTTTATGATTCATCGATGAATTGTTGATGGATCATCGGTGAATTGTTGATGAATTGTTGATGAATCATCAATAGAAACGAAGCCCATGCAAATTGTTTTTGTTTTTCTGTTGACGTGCACCGCCGAATCGGACCCGAAGGGAGTTCGGGTTCAAGTAGCAGTCGGCAGAGCGTCGATTCTGTCGACGTCGCAGTCGGCGCGTTGATGAATTGTTGCTTAAAAGGCCTACTGATGAAATGTGGTACTGCAGGGTATGTATGGACATATGTATGTATGTGTTTTATTCTTGTGTCGGAACGGTTTTGTACATTGATGTACGGATAAATGCCAATATGTATAGAGGAAAGCGGACGAAAAAGAATATGGCGACGTTCAAAACGGAGACGGATTGAAAATTTGCAAAATGTAGGAAATGGAAAAAAGAAATGGAAAATTCCTCAACTGCCGTTGTCAGGAAAACTCGCACTTGGAGTCGATACGGAAAATTAATCTTGCAGCAGAGTGACCGAAATTAATTGTTCGGACTACTGCTGAAGACCGGCAGCGAGGGGGCGACGGAATAGTTCGTACTTATCTTGGGAAATAAGAAACGCCGAGAACTGCTGGTGTGGAGTTGAAAAATCCGGAATCCAAAAATCCAAAAAAATCGAAAAATCCAAAATCCGGCTCGAAGGACCAAATGTTCGGCTGGGGGGAAAGTTCTCAATTCCGTAGACTAAGCACACACTATTAAACACTCCCGCGCCGCAGTCGTAAAACACCGGAGAAATATTACCGCAAGAAAAAGTACAACCAACGAAAAGAAGTAGTAGGCCGGGGGGGGGCGTGGTAATTTCGATATTAATGCGAGGACTTGGTCCGCTTTATTCAATTTCATAGAAGTAATTAAAACTATACAAGCGGGAGTAAGAGATCGCCGATCGCCCAGAGTCAAAGCGTCCGCTAGAAGAGCGAGAGCGCAAGCTGCACAACAGCGCAAGCTGAGAGCGAGAGCGCGCTGAGGAGCTTTGAAGAAGCGGGAGCGCTTCGGAGTCGCGCGGGGGGAAACGAAAGCTCCTGACCTGAACAATGAGAAAAAATGTAAAATTTCTTTATTTGTAAGAAGATTAAAAAAGATTTCAGCGCTATCATACTGCAACCAGAGGCTTGTTGTACGTGGTGAAACCTGGGACCCAGGGGCGTCCCAACATTCTGAAATTCTTTGCCATCCGGAATTCTGTGCCAAGGGTGCACAGCGTCTGGAAAGCGCTCCTTGTGTGTGAAGAAGTGAGGAGGAGTATACAGGAGAGCTTCAATTGGAATCCAGATTAGTACGTTTATAGCCAGTGAATGCTGCTATACAGATTTCTGCGCAGCAAATGAACACAGTAAATGGAAATACCCCATGGACAACGGCTCCCTGTATGCAACAGAGGGCTGCACGTGGTCCAATCTTGACGCCTGTTCCCTATCCACATATCCAAGGGAACAATGTAGCCCAAGCCGCACTGCCACACGGCGCAGCTGGGCCTTTACCGATCAGTACATCGTGGCCGGATCCACAACGAAATGAAGTTGGATTCATGGCAAATAATGGAGCACAGGCCGCACCACCAAGGGGCGCGACAGGATTCATACCAAACAGAGCAGAGCAACCAGTAATGCCAGGGATTCATGGCGAATAATGCAGCCATGTTTGGATTCCAAGGCGGTTCAGCGGGATTTGCCCCGCCATTCAGTGGATTGGGTTTCATGTAACAATGTAACCCCAATATGGCGAACTTTTCCCAACCCTACAATTCTGGAGTTAATGCCGGTGGACCAGGTGGATATATGCCGCAGTTTGCCAGCACACAGTTTCAGCAGGCAGGGAACAATGCAGTTATGCTGACGCCGACTCAGATAGCTGCGCGTCAAGTTATATCAAGAGGATTACCTGTTTTCTCCGGTAAGCCCGAGGAGTGGCTGTTATTCATAAGCAACTATGTGCAGTCAACAGAAAGATGAGGATTTAGCAACGAGGAGAATCTCATCAGACTTCAGCTTTAGATGCTGTACAAGTTAAGCTTATGGTTCCAGTTATGGTTCCATATGCGATCGGAACGTTGAGAATGTTATATGCACGTTCGGAAATAGTGCACGCTAGTGTGCAATGTATACTAAAAGAGGAACCACCAATCAAACCGAACAATTTGGAGTCCGTAATACGTTTGGTACTTGCGGTGCAGAATTATTGCGCGACCATGTTGTCGATGGGTTTACGTGATTACTTAAACGATTCAGCTGAGTGATTTTGTAGCTAAGCTGTCGAGCGATTTTAAGCTAGATTGGGGCGGACATCTTTTGGCAGCAGGCGGCGGAAATTTAGCCGCCTTTGATAATTGGTTATTTGATTATCAGCCTGCAGAGAAGGAAAAAGGTGGCAGACACGTGAAGGAACGCCAATTAGTCCACAATACGGTGAAAGGCTATGACAAGAACAATCAGAATCTGCAGGATCTACAAGAATTATCGAGCCCAGGATGTGACGGTGACCATGAACTTGTAAAATGCAAAGTGTTTTTGGCCATGTCAATCAAGTCTAGATTAGACATAATAAAGGCAAAACGACTATGCTTATGTTGCTTTGGGAAGCATATTGCTCGGAAGTGTAGTGTAAAGAAGACTTGCAATGTCAATTGATGCAAGTTAAAGCACAATAAGCATCTACACTTGAAGCGAGTTGTGAACGAGGACCAGATCAAACCAGAGAAGAAAACTAGCGATATAATAACCAGTGAGTCAACTGTTTTCTTCCATGATAAAACGACAAAAAAGGCCCTGTTCCGATATATACCAGTAACTTGTAACCAGTAACACAATGGGTCAAGACCCGTAGATGTCTTGGCCCTTATCGACGAGGGATCATCCTGTACGCTAATGGAGCGCAAGTTAGCTGATGAGCTGGGCTTAGACGAACCAGAAAAGGAGCTCTGTTTGAAGTGGACCCGGGATATTACGCAGACTGAAGCCAAATCCAAGCTCGTCTGTATCAATGTTTACGCTGCCGATTGCCTAGATGTGAAATATGTGCTGAAAGGAGTGCGCACTATGAGCAACTTGGATTTTCCATTGCAAAGTATTGATGATCAAATGCGTAATGATCACATTCACCTAAGGTCCGTTCATGTCTCGACGTACTCAAATGCTAGAGGCCAAATGATCATTGGACTGGATCACATTAAGATCTGTGTGCCATTGTGGGTACAAGAAGCTAATAATGACGATCTTATTGCGGTTCGTTGCCAATTGGGATGGTCTGTTTATGGCCGATATGGATTGGACGAAACCATGCCGCCAAGTGTGCTGCATGTCTGCCAGTGTACGTGCGCTACACGAGCACTCGACGAGGCTGTGAAGGCTCATTTTTCGTTGGAAGCTATTGGTGTGAGCGTTCCCGCAAAACCACTGCGATCGAAGGAAGATGAGCAGTCGCTGAAGATTATGAACCAAACTACGAAGTACATTTCCAATGACAGTTGCTGGGAAACTGGGTTATTGTAGAGATTTGAGAATGTTGTACTGCCGGACTCCTATCCCATGGCTCTTAGACGTCTCAAATGTCTCGAGTCAAAAATGCTTAAGGATCCGGAACTGAATGAGTTTTTGAGTGATACCATGCGAAACTACGAGAAGAACGGTTACATTCGAAAACTGCAAAAACGAGAGCTGGCTCATAATCAACGTTCTTGGTATCTCCTGTCTTTGTCGTGGAAAATCCCAACAAAAGAAAGAAACGTTTGGTCTGGGACGCCGCAGCACAGGTCGATGGCGTGTCTTTGAACGATACACTTTTAAATAGGCCGGATCTGTTGGTATCATTAATGGGAGTACTGCTGCGTTTTCGAGAGCGACCTGTAGCTGTAACAGGTGACATACGAGAGATGTTTCACCAGAATTTCTTATGGAGAAATGGAGAAATTGATCGTCCGCCGGATACATATGTAATGCAAGTGATGACCTTTGGCGCTTCTTGTTCGCCGTCACTTGCCAACTTCGTATTGAGGCGCAATACGGAGCAATTCGGCGAGAAACATCCAAGCGCGATAAAGGCGATCTTCCGAAACACGTTTGTTGACGACTGGCTGGAGTCGGTAGATAGGGAAGATCGGATGATTCAACTGGCAACAAATGTGAAAGATATCCACACCAAAGGTGGATTTGAAATGAGAAATTGGCTTTCAAACTTCAAAGGCGTCCTTCAATCCCTGAATAACTCACGGGAGGCGTCACGGAAATATCTTGGCGTGGAGAAAGAACTTCAGGAGAAAGTTTTAGGCATGCGGTGGCTACCGGAGTCAGACATGCTAACGTTCGTCATCAGGCCCGAGTTGTTGCAGAGGTCGGAAAACCACACAAAGCGTCGAGTGTTGAGTATATTAATGTCCATATTTGATCCGCTTGGGATACCTGGATTTTTCAACATCCGCCCCAAAATCATCCTGCAAAATATATGGAGATCAGACCCCCATTAAAGAACTGGAAGAGAATGACTGAATGGCATGGAAGGCTTTACTGAACAAACTTGGAGATCTCCGCATTCCACCCTACATGACCTGTTCAAGTTCCGTCAAAAGAGTGCAGTTGCATGTATTTGTCGGTGCCAGCCTGGATGCTTATGCTGCAGTTGCATATCTGCGTGTTGAACATAGCGGCGAGATCCGATGCTCTTTGGTGGCGTCAAAAAATAGAGCAGCTCCATTGAAACCAATATCAGTGGCTCGAATGGAATTGATGGCAGATGTTTTGGGTCTGGCCAAATTTTTGGAATCTGAGCTGTCAACAAAAATTGAACAACGCTGTAACGCCCCAAATCCTGGGGCGCACAAATTGCCCCAGCTGCGTGCCGAGAATTCGGAGTCATTTCATTTGTTCCTTATACTTTGTTAACTCTTATTATTATTAAATTAAGCTAAGTGTAAATATTCCTTATTATAATAGACTAAGATTAAATAGAGATCCCAAGAAAACATACGTGGCAACCCTTGAGCCTTTTCTTTAGCCGAGACACGACCCGCGAAAAGACGTCCCCTTGATATCGCACTAGCCGCGATCGATAGGCCAATCGAAAGCGATCAGGCCGATCGATAAGCGCGACCCGTCGCTTAAGTGCGAAAACTGATTTTTTAACTCTTCCTCTTCTGCTTCACGACTTCGACGAGGACAGATGTGCGAACGATCGCCGCATCCTCCCGCGAATCCTCCCGCGCATCGACAAGACACGTGCCATCAACGGAAAAACGAAGAGACACCTCGCTCACACAACGCGAACCCGTGCTCCGCCGCGCCACTACTACGCCCGCTCGTACGCTGTGACGCGCGCCTGATTGGCGAACGGCGGCATCACGAGTTTGCCACGCGCATTCTACCCCCTCCCCCCTCCCCTCGCGCCATATCGCGGCAGCCGCGCCGCAAGGGAAGTTCACGTAAGCATTCTTCTTTTACATAGTTGTGAGGGCAGCAGCAGGGCCCGCCACAAAAGAAAAGAATATTATAATAAGGAATAAGACCAGAGTGAAATATAGTTGTTATTATATCTGTAGTTTTGGCATCACTTCTCTTCGACCTGGCGACTCACATTTTCACCATCAGCCTTACGGGTGAGGCAGTGCAGTCGCTCTTGGCACCAAACCACGTAGTGCTAGAGTGCCCTCTATATACATTTTCTTGTATAGGTTCTTTGGCCCCGACTGAGATTCTATCCCAGCCAGAGAACTGCGAACTGAGAACAAGTAGCGCCCGAACAGGGACTGCAAGGAGAAAATACCAGGAAAAATACCACCTGTATGGGGAGTGTGTAACCCTGAAACGAGTGAAATAACCTAAAAATTCTGAAAAAAAAATCGAGAAATAATACAAAGTGCCTGTGACCATGAACGTATCCGCATCGAACCAGTACGCGCGCCCGGTATTAAGCCCACGCGCTTACTCACGAACTCAACAGTTAACGCGACCGAGTGTCAGTGCAAAGAGGGCAAAACCTCATAAACCATAGACTCCAACCAAGTGCCCCAGTGGCCAGAGACAAGGAAATAATACACGAAGGCAACGCAGAAGAACCCACCGAAGCTATGGATCCCGACCAAAAACCTGCCGGTGAGTCCGTTCCACTTTTGATTAAGAATCCTGTGCTCCTCGCGGTGGATTTATTCCCGCTTGAATGCCGAACTGC